CAATGATATATCTTCCACAAAATCACAATGGATTGTATCTATATGAAATGTGTTTTTTTCTTTTTCTGTTCCTGTGTTGTGAATCATATGAGAAATCAAAGCTATTTCTGTCTGCAATCGAATGGTACTATGTTGAGCAAAAAGTTCGCGGTCACTTGCAAAAAAATTCTTTTTTATGCATAAGTTTATTCAAAGCCAATAACAATTATTCTTCAAAGTACAACCCATCATTCTCAATGACCTTACATCAGCGTTCTGAAAGTTGTCGGATCTGATCTCGATACCACTGCGGCTCCTTGGACTCAAAGAATTCACGGCACGCTGCTTCGACTTGATCAAAAGTTTCAAATCGTCGTCCTCGGAAAAAGTGCACCATTGAACGAAACAAGCCATAATCAGAAGGAGCAAGGTCGGGACTGCAAGCCGGATGGGGTAGAAGCTTTACACCATCCAGTTCATCAAGCTTCTCCTTGGTCAAATTGGCACGATGAGCTGGAGCATTGTCGTGTTGGAGAAGGGCACGTTTTCGGCGGATCAATGTTGGGTAGCGCTGCGTCAAGTCGTCGTAGACGCTCTCCAATTGCTCGCTGTACAGCTCGGCATTCACAGCTTGACCATCAGGAACCAATTCAAAGTGCACAACGCCATCGACATTCCACCGGACGCACAACATGACTTTGGTGTCGAAATGATCTTGACGAGCAACCGATGACGGATTTTGATCTCGTGGAACCCAGCATCTAGAACGATCACGATTGACCAAGAAAACCCACTTTTCGTCGCATGTCACAATGCGCTTCCAGAACCGATCGTCCAACGGATTGTCGAGCAGTTGACGGCAGACTTCAACACGTCGTATAGCTTGTGCTTCAGTGAGTTCGTGAGGATTTTGTCGTGGCTTCTTGTGGACAAAATCAAACTTGTGCAAGTAATTGACAAAGGTCCGCTGCGAGACTCCAAGTTCATCGGCCAAATCGCGAGTATTCGATGACGGCTCGTCTTCCAAAGCGGCACGCAAGTCCTCTTCGTCCAGAACAGATGGTCGGCCAGAACGAGGCTTGTCTTCGAAGTCAAAATCGCCATCCCCGAATCGCTTGAACGATTTTATCGCGGCAGTTTTCCCGATCGTTCCTTCGCCTTCCACTTCGCAGATTTCGGCAGCAGCAGCTCTTGCAGACAGGCCTTTCTTCAAATAGTGGCGGAGCAAAACACGAATTTCAAAATTATTCATCTAAATTCAAATGATGGAAATGAAATTACAAAATTTACACAAGAATAGCTAGCATACTGTGAACAATATTCTTTATTCGAAGAGAAAAGAATCAAACAGCACACACACACCACACACGAAAATCAATGTATATATGGAAGAATCAGAGAGAATATAATCGCGTACATATGACTCAAGGATTCCAATAACTCAGGAATCTTATCCATATACAAATGACTCAAAGACTACGAAGGAGGAAGAATGATAGAGATGACTCAACATGGCTAAAGGCCACAACATACACGCGAGATATACAAGTTTTTAAACTGAAACACAAAAAATTTTAAAAGTAAACTTAAAAAATTAAAATTTTTGCAAGTGACCGCGAACTTTTTGCTCAACATAGTATTTAAAACAAAACGAATACTTCTCATCGAGTAAGATTGTTCAATCTTGTTGACATCTCTGTAGTCGATGGTAGAGATTGATTAGCAATAGAAATATGAAAACAGTAAGTTACAGACTGTGTAACCATCCATTGGTAAGAATACATATAAAACTACAAAGCGAAATTATAAGAAAATAAGATAAGTGAGAGTCAAATTTAATGAACTCTATAGAGGGTGTGGATCTGTGTGCCAGTGGATGTGTGCATTGCTGAATAGAAGAGACAGACTCACAGTCACATCAAAAGCATATAAGTTTGTTATTCATATTTTTATTTGTATACAAAGAAACAAAATGTTTGCTTCATATTTAAACAAAGTTTCATGTACATCGTGTACAATGATTTCTATTATTTAAAGATTTCGATCGTGTCCGTACAGGTCATGTTACACAAAGTCAATTTTTACGTATATTAAATATCCTTCTTTTATTAACATTTAGAGTTGATGGACATGATTATATCACTTTTTGTCATGAACGGAATGCTTTAGCTGATTTGGAAACTAGAGTGTGAGTGTGGATGTGCCTCTTCTCCTCATCCACCCACATCTAAGACAGTGTAACGTCATCAAATAAAGTTTGAAAAAAACATATTGATGATCTATTATGTATGTTGATGAACTTAGAAAGATGAAAACTGATTGTTCCCGAAATTTGGAATTTAAGAAATTGATGCTTTTGTGTGGCTTGTGTCAAATTTGTGTGTAGTCAAAACATCAGCCTTGATATCTGCCATGTAATCGGTTATACGCGCAAAAACCACAAACTACTTTATTTAGTATATTGACAAACGTATTTCAGTCATTTATATTTCTAGAAAGATTCTAGAATATTCTGAAATTTTCTATGCCATGTTATTGATGTTTTTCAGCATCTTAAATCCCGATTGCTTAGTTCTATAAAGGAGATATAGATGATCAGAAGACTATTATTCCACACTCATCACCCTTCTTCATGTTCAATAAATGCAAACTTCATCATTATGTGATTGTGTTTTCGTTATAACGATTACGAATAAAACTTTAGTCTACAAGGTAATTAGCTCATGCCATAAGAATATGATTCATTTTAGACAGTTTTGTTTTGCCGTTTGTTAAGTGCAATGTTACCGATGTATTCTCTTGTATTGTAAAGGATTCGATACTCAATTTTCAAACCGTTACCAACTGTATACAACATAATATGGTATATGGTTGTAATACTACGGCAAGCAAACATATATTTACATTTATTTACGACCACAAAGTCTATGAAACTACAGTATACTGAGTCTCAGTTTTAGTCTTCTCGACGAGTGTAATCATCGACCAGGAAAATATTAATATGTTCTTTTCTTGAGTAATCAGGATACTAGGCATGATGAATATAGCTAAACGAAACTGTTGTATCGCTGACAGAAAAAGAACGACAGATGATTAATCCACATCAAATAGCAAATGTTGTAAGAGGCTGTGTACGGAGAAAGGAAACACTTGTTTAATGTCTCTCTTACATGGAAGCCGTATACGGTTGCGGTTCTCTCCATAAATGATAGTAATGTTCTATATACAGTCGCATAGATATACAATCGTAGTACGGCAAAATACGCATTTCGTATTCATTGGTTTAGAAAGAAAAGGACAAATTTGTTTCTATGAATACAAATTATTTTACTTGAGTTCTCATGAATTTGTATAAAGCATTGATATTTGTTTCTTAGGATTTTTATTTACATGAAAATTCGAATACATGATATTTTGTAAAACTGTGCAAAGTTTTGATGATCATGCAAACTCATTTTTATCTGCAATTAAAATTACTCAAAATTATTTTCATCAAATCCTAATATGCGAACAACGTAGTCATTCTAATGAATACTATCGTTCGATATCGATTGCTACATAAAATATTCATTGTCAATTAAGTTTTGCATATTAAGGTACAATCTTCAATATAATGCTTATCTTGAGAAATTCAGAAATGAACTTAGTAATTCCTTTTTTTTCTATAAAATCAGTTAAGAAAAGTTTTGAAGCATATTAAGGTTATGTTGCTCACCAATCGTTTTACCAAGGGTGATTAATTGTTGTATCTTCAAAACAATGACCTAAAGCTCAATTTTCTGGACATTACGTATTAAACAGAAAGTTTTACTGGCGTGACTTTATAGTGTTTGCATAACATATAAGAAAATGAAGCAATCGAAAAATCGAATTGCATCATATCTTTTTACATCTTTCTTTGTATTTGAGTAAGAAGTAATAGTTTTGAAGTTTTCTTCTAAAGCATTAAAATGAATCGTATAACTTTGCTATTATTAACATTAGGATTAATTATTGAAAAGTTGTTAGCATTAATTTAGCATTATTTTTAATTCTAATACATTTGAAACCTATGACGATACATCTGAGAGTTCATGCTCGAAAATTTCCAATAATAGAAAAAAGCTTTTTATATTTGGAAATGTCCTTACCAAAATCGAACAAAATCGTTCCGTTGTGGGAACTACTGAGCTTAGTATGTATTCGAGACCCATCTACGGATAGCATATGTATTAGAATTTTAAAAAAATACATATTTGATGCTAATAGCTTGACATTAATTACTTCTAATGCGGTATCCCTCGTTTTTACGAAAGTGAATACTTATGGTAAAAATGAATTCGATATAATTGAACTTAATTTCAACATTAATAGAGACCATTGTTTATATGAAAGAACATTTATCAAATATGATGAATGTTTACCTAGAATTTTTGATATTTTATCAAATAGAAGTACAAAATTTTTGCATTGAGAGAAGCATTTAAAGTAATGTGTTCTTTTCATTTTATAAGTTTTATTTTTTGGACTAAACTAGACAATAATAGAGTTTCTGAATTTGACGACTAGCTATAGGTTATTGAAGATAAAAACTGAATGATTACACTTAATTTAAACTTGTTAAAGTCTGACTTATGAGTATTATTTTAATTTGAGATAGGAAATATAAAAGATAATAACAAGCGATTGTAAAACCAAAAGCTAAAAAAAAAATAAACGTAGTCTCTGTGAAGGTCAAACTCATGACTTGCACGATATTAGCATGACGCTATAACTGGTATAGTTAAGCGACAGCATTTGTTTCTATTTCCACATTGGTTATCAATGTTTACATTAGGCAAAGATTCATAAAGAATAATTTTTCGTAAAATTACACAAAATTTTCAATATTTTTATTTATATATATACAAATCACTTTTTTTAAAACAAAAAAATATTCACAAAACTAAAATAGAAAGGCTGTAAAAATACTATCTGACACAAAAATTATATACATTAAAAAGATACAATGGGTTTATATATATATATATATGACAATGTATCTAACAATTGACAATCCATTGCCATGCTTCCTTTAGAATAATATATTTAACAGCTTCAAAAACATCAAGTTTAATTGTTGTTGGTACTTTCCATGGATTTTTACCATCAAGTTTTTGTTTATTTGGTTCATAAACACCTGTACATACTAGAATTGATTCACACGAGGTTGCAGTTAAAAAGCTCGAATCCGATAATAAACTATAACCACTAATACTTGTTCTTAAATTCATTGCTTGTTGTAATAAATGATTATACATATTTGCACCTACAATATCAACATCTGGATTATCTCCAATAAAATAAACTTTTTCAATTTTTGGTTGACCATTAGCTAATGCTATTTGATTAGCTATTGTTTCAGCATATTGATATGATATTTCAAATGGTTTACCAACAAATGCTGTATATTTAAGATCATTTCCACTTATACCCTATATAGAAAATAAAAACAAAAGTTCATAGAATTTTTTTTTAAATAGATGAAAACAATGATTTACTTTATATAATGTTTCTAAACAAGTAAGAAAAGCACCATGACCAAAACGTGGTAAATCTGCAGCAGCTTTAAATACAAGATCTCTGTTACAAGCAATGATAGGTATATGATCATGTTTTGTATTTGAATCATCTGGTACAATAGCAGGATTACCATCAGTTAAAAGAAGATCAATAAGAACTTGTAATGATCTTTCCCAATGAGTAGGTTCACCAAGTAAAACAATAGCTTTAAAAAAAAAACGACAACAATGAAAATATTGATAAGAAGAACAAAACGAGTATCTACCTTCAATAGGACGAAAATTCTCATCATGAACAAGACCTTGAGTACTAATCATTTCACTCTATAATACATAATAAATATAAATTAAAAAGAAACTTTTTTTTCTTAGTGACTTACCAATCTAACCCGATTCATATGATCAATCATATCTAATTCTGGAAATGCTTCACAAACTTTTTCAATTGTTGTTATACTTTTAAAACCGATCCTATTTGTAAAAAAAATGAATAAATAAGATTTAGAAATAAATCAAAGTAAAATCTATACATTCGAGCAATATCTTCAGCTTGACCTTGTCCAGAAACAAGAACATGTTTATTATGAAAATTAGTTAATGTGCGCATTGGTGTTTGAGCAAGAACAATTTGTTCAGGATGAATCTATATTTAAATATATGTATATGATTAAGAAAATCGTATAAAAACATGAGAAAGATTAACTTACAGTTACTCCAAGTACAGCTGATAATTGTTTAGCCTTATCTGATTCGAGCATACATGTATTTGAAACAAATACAACAGGTACATTGAGCTGAATCAATGTTTGTATTGCTGGTTTAGCAACCGTGATAAAATTTGGACCTTTTGTAATAACACCATCAATATCAAAGAAACATGCAAAGTTCGGCTATTCAAAGAAAGATGTATCAATAAAAATAAATGGATTCAAATATTTATCTTACAGTTCTCATGATAAAGATTCTTTGTGTTAGTAAACACTCGCTAGTTTTGTTTGAAGAAACAAATTTATAATAAACAATTTTTTTTCTGAGCAAAACTAAGCAGATCGCCAGTATTTATATACCTGTGTCGATAACAGAAAAAAGGCACGAAACGATCAGCCTGTGATACCATTCCTTACATACTAAATTTCGTTGTTTAATTTTGTTCATGTGATCAGTTTGTATTGTTCTCTAATCGGATGATATTTGTGTTCTTGCTAAGAACATACATTCACTGAATGATATTATGCTGTTATTGGTACATTCTTCTCTTTTCGTTCGTTCTAGAATGTTATGCTGTTAGTAGTGATAGTGGAGAAGTAAAGAGCGAAGTGCGTAGTATTTCTTTTTCTATTCTTTTGTAAGACCCAGGCAAGGACAAATTGTTTACGCTGTTCTTTTTATACATAGATGCTACGCGTGTCTATAATATCGTAGGTCTATTTCTATCTGAATGTACTAAAAGCACAGGAAATTCCAAAGATTAATAACCACACCTTCAGTAAATGTTGAACTCATACCAGCAAATACGTCAATGCTATTACATGAATGTTCTTGTTGTATGATCGTTCAAGGAAAGAGCAAATCTATTCAATCGATTTATCTGTCATTTTCTCTCTCTTTTTTATTTGATCTTGTTATTTGTTTACTTTATATCAAGTACATTTGATATGAATATTTTTCTTACTAGTCTACACATTTTAGTTATGATGAAATATTTCTTTCTTGTAAATGGATAGTTTTGGTATTCAAATATTGTCGAACTCTTGTTTTCTATTTTGATCATAATCAAAATGTGATACAAAATAATAATATAACTAAAAGATTGTTTATTATACATTGTAATTATATTCGTATTGAAAATTCTCTATCTATTTGTCATGATGAACTATTATGTTCATTAAGTGAGATATTTTGATGGTGTACTATGTCATTTTTGAAACAAAAGAGATAGAAACTGAGTTTTTTCGTTATCATAATTTTAACTCTAAGAAATCATGCACGAAGAATCTTCAACATAGATGGAATCAATTTGAATTGTTTACAAGTAGTTTGATTGCGACTGTGAATGTGAGGTTTTTTTTCAATTATCCACTCATACAGCCACACTATACATCAACAACGACATTCTCACTTTAAATACAATCCACGTTCATAATTCTTGTACTTCACAGTCTCTACTCAATTAGTTTGGTGTATTTTTATAATTTTTAAAATTTAAAGAAGAATAAATGAATGACAAGTTAATAACCATATTAAAATTTTTGAAAGACGCTCGTTCAACGTAGTATTGCACTGTTTAGTAAGACTTATATATTTCTCACTTCCTTTTTGCTTCAAAGACGCTTTTAACGGAGATCATTTTTAGCTAGGTTTAAATATTGAACAAAAATCTAAACGACTATTCACTAGCAATAAAGCACAAATGACAAAAGTCAAAATAACTTTTCCGTTTAAACTTTTAAAAATGTGATTCTTTTTAGATCTGAGAATATTCAGTTAATTGTAAATCTGATATTGCAAAACGTGAACAAAGATTATATGATAAAAAGGTTCATTAAGAAATTGTATTAACCCGACTAGAAGTAAATCATTAACCAAAAACATATCTGAAATCAAGCTTTATCGATTTAATATAGAAAGACAAAGCAGTATGAAGGTATTAGAAGAAATTCTTGGTGATCGAAAGGGTGTGGGTTTGATGGAGGACAAGAACCACACCAACGCCCTCACGTGTTTTCTTTTCAATGAATGATTGTCAGATTTACTTCAGAAGTTACTGAAATAATCTAATGAGATGCAGATCATACTACTCCTACAATTGATCTGAGTTGATGGAAAGACGATTGCATCATAAAATCACATTGTCGTGTTCAATACATGTTTTGACTTTTCTATAGCACTCTTCGTCCCTTCCTTAGACACTCATGAGAGCAGTTATTCTTTTAATTGATAATTGAATAAAAATAGATCATTTATATTCAAATGATCTAATAAACTAAAGGAAAAGTGTGTCTTTTCCAAGCAACTATAAAGTCTGGTTCTGATATTAATCAGGCTAATATCATCATTGACGTGTTTTATTGATAATTATAACATGGAACTTCTGTTATAATATCGTTATCATTTGTGACACATACGACGCGAGTTGGCATGCGCATTCGATCTTGAATTCCATTCCTTGCATTATATGGCGTTAAACCTATGATCAAAACGAAAGATATAAGAAAACATATAGACTTAGTGAATATAGATTAAAAATGAATGATTTTACTTACTGTTATCAAATTCTAAAATTTTTTGAGATGCTACTTCGAATGTCTGTCCAACCAATTCGGGCCATTCTTTACGTCTGGACATTATTTTATAATTATCTAAGGTACAAATTAGTCTATTTCAAATTAAAAATTCATACGACTATTCAATAAATTCTACCGTTATATTGTTGAAATGTCTCCAACATTTTATATGAAAATAAAACGAAGAATCTCTCAAATTGTTTTGCGTTTGTATGAATAGAAGCAGTCGTCAAGCGATGCAATCGGCCTCTTCTCAACATCGAGTTTACTATTTTCCGAATAGTCCATCTGAACGTGAGCGATCGCTTGTCATTCAAATAATATCGTTAGATTTCATTCTATATGTGTGCGACTGACTCAAAACTCAATATTATCGATCTTCTATGATGTTATTCAGTGTTGTGTTTACCTGCAAGGGTTCTTTCTCTGCTTCAGCTCCTTTACTTTAATTATTATATAAAATAAAAGCTCTTTCTTTATTCTATTGAATGATATATAATAGTAGGAAAAATTAATGTTCTTTTCAGTTTTCTTCTACATGACATTGGTCGCTTACATGTTGGGAGAAGCAATGAAAAAACGGTTGCCATTAATATGGTCGAAAAACAACGAAAGAAAGAATAGCGAAAAAATGTCGAACAAAATTTATATTGAGATGTTCGCCTAGCGAGACGAATATTTTTTTATTACATACAAAAAAGGGAGAGATGTATAAGTACACCAACAAGATAGTATGTTTTCTTATGTTGATAACAAGCTCTGCATGTCTTTTTTCGTTATTTATTTTGCGAATAAATGGATAAAAACTAATGAAACTCTCTCACTATCGAAATACAAAATCAGTAGCCTATTTTGAATTATGTATCATTCGATAGGTTTTTTAAAGCTTTATAAAATGATACTGTTGCATTAAACCTAGTTTATGACAATGTTACTTTAATCAAATGCACAATGTTCATGGGTGCCAAAATTTGCCGTTTTTGACAAATATTAAACCGGTTTTAGTCAAAAATAATCAGACTTCTTATAAAAAATAATAACAATAGTTTTTGAGTCAGCAACGTACACTGAGCCAGTCTATATGCATCAGAGAATTCTTTAACGACTTTTATTTTCATTCAAAAAAACTCAGTTCTGGTCCTTCTGAAGATTACAATAAAAACTAAAGTTCAAAGATCTAGAAAAATTCAAAAGAAAAAGATAAATAAATAATGAAAGCGATGTTTTGACTGACATTTGTATTTGATGTAACTCCAGTTTTGACCGAAACTGATTAAATATTAGTATAAAACGGTAACTGCCAGTACTCATGAACATTGTGGGTATGGGTGTAGGTGGGTGCGGATGGATATGGACGAAGATTAGATCAACAGCCACAGTCACAAGACACCCCACATCCCACACCCACACCCACACCCCACACCCACCTTCTTTCTTTTGTCATTGTTTTCTTTTTCTGTATTGTGTAGACGTCAAGGAGTGCGTCTAGTGCGAATGAAAGGTCGTGCCCTTATTATTGGCACGACCAATCTTTATCTTCTATTGGTTCAATGATGTGAGAGCATTCGGTCACTATGTAGCTAGATATTCTGACCTCATGAACGATAATAGGATACCTGTTCACTTTGTTTTCTCAATCACATATAACCTTGTGTTCTATATAAGATAAACATAACTGAAGCGATGCAGTATTGTAGTGAGCATCTGTATCGCGTATAACAATAGAACTATTCCTTCAATTTGTCAATGTTGAGTATAATAAAATATACAGTTTACTGGTAATAAAAGAGAACATTATTCGATCTCTCTTATGTTGGTTACAACTATGTAACTAGCTAATTAGTTAAATAATGCATTGAGAAAATGTGCATTCTGAAGATTGAAGACGAACATCATTTTGGGTGTGAATGTTGATCAGTAGGTATAAGTAAGGGTGTAGATAATTTTCTTATCCACATTCACATTTCATGAAACATATTACTCTGAATCTTTTTTCTTTTCTTAAAAAATACTTTTGACAGTTTCAGATGAGTAATAAAGCTGTCTCGAAGTTGGAATCTCTTCCAAACGAGTTATTACAAGAAATCCTACAAATACTAGAATCTCACGATCTGTTTTCCACCTGGTACAATTTAAACTCGCGTTTCAACAATATAATCAAACAATTACGTTCCTGGAACTTATCCAATACATCATACTCGTATTTTCTAATATGTTCTTCTCTATTAATTAATCATCAAGATCAAGTTATATCATTGACTTTATCTAACGTTGATACCACAGGACAAATTTCCTTGTTCTTTCGCATACTTCCATTGCTAAACTTTCACAATTTACGATCATTGTCAATTCTTAGAGTCGAGCAAGTTGAACTAAATGCCCTGATCTTAAAAATCCCAGCATTGAATCGTCTATTATATTTATTCATTGACTGTTATTCAACACATGATGAGGATTTTTCATTAAATGATATTACCTCATCATCATTATGCTCATTAACCCTCGATTCCACGAGTGAGGCTCATTATAATTGGTTAAACATCGGTCATCTATGCCCTAATTTAAAATATTTGAATGTCAATACTCCAATTTATGTTGAACAATACATCCAGTTGTGTTCTTCTTCTTTTTCAAATAATTTCAAAAAATTATCAATTTATTTGGCAAAAGATAGAAATGAGTCAGAAATTGCAACATGTACTAATCTATCAATGTTAAAAATGAATACAAGCGTCGAAGAATTATCCATTCATTTGAATCAAGACGTGTCATTCAGTGAGTTTAAGTTTATAATTCAAAAATTCACAAGATTGACAAAATTATCGGTGGAAATGACAGAATCTTGGGATAGTAGCGATGCTGAAAGTCCTTTAAACGGTTTCCAATGGGAACAACTTATTTCAACACATTTACCGAATTTACACACATTTAACCTGAATGTTGCAACAAGTAAACAACGATTGGATGATGAATTAATACATTCATTTAAAACAGATTTTTGGATTCAACATAATTGGTAAGCATGTGTTAACAATGTCACCCTTCGCAGTGTTTATGCTGAACATCTACGTACATACGCACACAATCCGAAAGCTCCATCTTTCAGAAAAAAACATGCATATATATAGATAAGTGTTACTCAGCGATCGAAGAAGACATCACATAAGATGTCAAGGCATATGCGACGTCGGAAAATAAACGAATCGAACGAACTATAGTGAATGGATAAAGATGAGTAACAATAAACACAAACAGAAGCTCAGAAATCAAAGGGTAAATAGAAGGGGAGAAGACCAAAGAAAGACACGTTGTAAAGGTAAATGGATGCAATAGTATGTCTGAATGATTTTCCCGATATGATAACCACTTTATCAACTAGTCGGAAAACATCAGCTCAAATCGATCTAGTTTTTCTAAGTTATAAATCATTTAATCAATAATTTTCTAAAAATTCTACAATTGTAACTATTAGAAAAATTGAAGAACCCAACAAGGATGCACTTAATCATTACAAGAATGACAAAACTGTCAGCGTACTCATATTTACAAAAGCCTTTTATTATATTGCATTTGATGTTCACAAAACTTTGTTTTTAGTATCAGATAATAAATTGTACTATGATATCTATGAATTTGATCAAGATCACCTACAACTACAGAGCAGACTTTTACGAAGTATCATTAGTTTGGCCTTTTGATTCATAACAGCAAAAAGTAATAGACAATATTTCATCCTTCTATCTCTCTCATTTCAAAAGACATAATGTTTGAATTGATGCTTGCGATCAGAGTTCATCGAACTCTAGTGTGGGTACATGTTTGAAATCAAATTCTTTATGATAATACAATTCTCACCAAGTAGTGGTATTTTTTTCACATCTGTAACTATTTCTCTTTTCTTCTCACACTATTGCAAATTAATGATGTACAGATACATCTTTTAACTATTACCAAAAGATCGATGTATGAAGAATTGAGATTTCCTTTTTGTAAAGCACACGGGATAAATATTAACTTTTAATTTACAAATTTAATGCTTATTTAGGTTTGTTGCTTTTAATTATGGTAAACTTTATACAATACCATATAAGAAAAGAGAATTAACGTTATTTTTCGATGAAAAGTTATTATCGTTGTCTCCTACAGTTTCCAATAGATATGATCATGTAGAAACACTAATGCTAAATTTCAGTAATACTTTTCAATGTTTCAATACAGATTTATCATCATTTATATTTCCGAATGTTTCTCATTTATCATTATGGTTTACAAATGACTACTATGAAAGCGACAGTGATGATGGATGTTGTGAAATTATTCATAACCGTCTGAAAGTAAACGAATATTACTCGGTTTTGATGTTTTTGAACAAAATTGTGTCATTATCGAAACTACAATCATTGACTATTAGTAGCTATCTGCCACAAAATTTTATGATCCAATTACTTAGTAAGACGACGAATTTAACGAAATTAGAGCTTGACGATTGGGACGGTAAGGCATTATTATCTAACATCTTTGCATAGAATACCAGTAATAAAAATCTCAGCTATCTTTCAGGTTTATCTTTTCGAACTGATCTCGTCGACTTTATGTTTTCAAATAGCGACTTATTCAAAAATATTCAACATCTTGCTGTAATTAGAATGATTGACGGTATACTAAATATAAAAAATGTCGAAATATTTGTTCATATGTTTAACAATTACCGGTGCCTAAAAGTGTTACATATTGAAGTGTCGGATGAAGATTCTTTTCCAGTTTTACGATTACTATTAAATGAAATGAAGTCGTTGTCATTTATAAGTATTAAATCATATATCATTACACATGAAATTCAAACAATATTGGAATGGTTAAAAGAAGTATTAAACGGAATAGAATATCAAGCAAACATAAAAGATGATCTATTATCACTTTGGTTCTAATTTATGAATATAAGAATATAGTTTGCTTCATTTTGTATTTTTCTGTCAAATGAAATAAAATAGCTAAAAAATGACGTAATTTTTTTCCCGTTAAGAAACCTCATGATCAAGAATATGTTTCATACCAAACAAAACTTTTGTCTATATAAATGAATGTCATTCATGATTATTATCGTATTCAAAAGATTCTCGTATATAATTTAATTGAAATATTTTCTTCAATTATTATATCAAATAGAAATTCTCATCAACTTGGAAATGAGCAAAAATATATTCTAATGATGATTGGTTTTCTCGGTCAATTTTCTCTAATCTAAGTTACATTTCATATGAGCGAATAAATATTTTTTACTTAAATGTTATTATGTAACCATATGCTCTATCAAAACATTTGAATATGGTCGTTGTTAATGTCATCAAAATATAATTAAAACTTTCTTTAAATAATTAATTACTAAGCAATGGATGCATACTATGTGTAGCACTTTTGCATTAATTTTAACTTTAAAATCGAAATTTAAGTTAAACAACTTTTTTTTTTTTAATTTGTGTATTTTTTTTTTCAATTATGATACTTGATCGTTTCTAGTTGCATTTGAAGTCTATAGAACTTATTCATTAACAAAATTAATATCATTCAAGTTATATAATTTTAAAAAGTATTGATTCCTTGTATAAAAAAATGTTAGCTCGATTTTGCTTGGTCATTCTGGCTCTTCTTCAGTTTAAATATATGAGTTAGTGTTACGACAAGAATAGTGATAATATGAACTAAATGAGACAACCACGTTCACCTATTGATATTTCTTATATTAATTATATTTTTATGAAAATAAAAGATCTACATAGATACTCATAAGTTTTCTGTTCTATAAGCATTTTTTCTTATATTTTCCATACAAAAGCTAAAAAAACACACTCTAAAATTATTTATTATCAAAAGAAGTCATTAAGATCATGAATACAATAAGGGTTGACCATGTCTTGCAAATAACTTACAAGAAAGTTTTAATACCGTTTATGATCGGATTGTACGTAATCAGAATCGTTTTGAGGGCCTATTTGAATTAACTTCGGTGAAATAACCTGCAGCACTAACAACAAAAGGTGCATTGAAAACGAGAAACGTGATGGAATTCAGATTTAAAGTCAAAAGCACCAAAGAATATATACGACAAATGCATAGAATTGCATATCTTCGATGGAGAGCGTGTTTCACCACACTCACACTCGTTTGAATATACGCAGATGGTGTAAAACGCGTTTCACAAAGAATACAATAAACACATTTCAGTGTGTTTGAAGTCAGTTTCGATATAGAGTGTGTCTCTTCGTTACATTAGAGTCAAAATATGATTCAACACATTAATTTTCTATTATTAAACAGTGTATTGGTGATAAGGAGACAACACTATTGAACACTATTGATAGGGTCTACACCTCTTATTTGAAGATACAAAGAAATTAAAAGACCTTATATTTTCACAATAAATTATTCTCATGGAGGTCTGTTCATCCAAAGCTTGAAGTCAAAGTTCGAAAATGAGTTTTTCTCATTGTCTGATTGTGGATAAAATAAAGATTTACAAGTACATCGACACTCACGCAAGTTAGTTAACGGGAGCAATCATCGAAGAAGATTCTCTTATACAAAAAATTCTTAATGTATATAGTTTTCTTTTCTCTTGTCATATGTTTTTCGAAAAAACCTTACTGCAGCAACGTTAAACTTGCATTGCTATTGAAAAAGCACAAAAACTGATAACTAGTAGTTTAACAAAAGAAAATTTCATATATTTTCGGAATACATAGTATAAAAAACGTCGTCGCCATAGAAGTTGATGTTATGGGTATTTTTAATGTCACGCATTCCATTTTATGATTTCTTAGGAAAATGTTGATAAAAAAACAACAAAGTTTTTTCTGAGGGTAATCTAAAGTACGACTAAATATTAAATAAAATCATACTGCAGTCGGGATATTTTTCTCTATATGCCCTTTAGCATATGTGCATTCAAAATGTCGAAGTCTATTACACATCTTCAACTTTTATGTTGAATTCAATTATTCAACATTTTATTAAAAACTACCCGCATAACTAACTTTCTATTTCTGCGTCATGGCGTAGGAATGCATAGCGATTCCGAAAGAGCCGCAATACATACTCATCTTTGTGTACACACAACAGCCTATCTTTACTTTATTCTTTAACAATACTGAAAAGAACCTATAGACAGAATGGAAATATAAATGGACTAGGAGAGTGAAGTTTTTTTAATCATTTCTGATAGAAACGATAAATCGGATGGACTCATTCATGTACTTATTGTGGAAAGACTCTCATACGAAAAGGATCACTTCGTTTTTTTTTCTCACACTGGTCACTTCTTTCTTTCTCTACTATTTATCTTCTGGTATATTCATCTTGATTAACATATAATGTGTTAGAAGAAAAAGTGATGCTTGTTTCTACTACAATATATATTCACATCTAAATCATACACATGAAGTCTATATATGATAATACATTGATGACATGCATTACTAATTTCTTCTATTGAAAATTAATGGAATATTATAATAAAAACTACGGGAAGCGTGGTATAGATAGTCGAGATTGGTAATGATTCCAGACTGGATATATAAAAGATTAATTTTATGAATTTTTTTATGTTAATATGCAACACACATATGTGATTGCAAAAAACATCTAGATATTGGTACATGAACAAGAAACAAAATAAGACACGAAAGTATAAAACAGAAGATAAAATCAATACTGTCTGATACAAGTTGATGCAAAATGAATATGAAACATAAAATAATGTTCTATCAACATTTTTATAAATTTCCATAGACAAATCTATTTTATAGTTAATACAAATACAAGTTAAAATATACTTAGCTAATCCTGTAAAATGTAGTACAAAAAAAGCATATTTTTTGCTTTATACTTTATATGCTAGTCAAGAGGAATATATTCGAAGATGCCTCATGTTTTATACCGTCTCGTTATATATAATATATTTAAAAATAAACGATCTATAATAATAGAAATTGTAAAAAAAGAAATAATGAACAGAAATTCAATTAACGTCTATTACGTTAGTCTAATGTACATCAACATCTAGAGCGACAGTAATGCTATTCTAATTCATCACAACACAATATATATGAATGTAATAACGAGACAGTTTGAAAATAAAGAATTAAAAAATATTATTATACAATGGTTCTAATCACCATTTATTATCACAGTGAATCAATCCGTTTACTAATTTCATCCCAATAGTTACATTCATTATATCAATGAAATATGATAATAGTTTCAGTTATATTTCTTCTATTAAATAAGTGTAAAAGAAACATATTTGTCACGTGACATTATTTGATAATATAAATAATTGCTCTATTCAGAAAATAATCGATAAAGAAATGATTTGTTAAAGCTTATTTTTTGGATTTCTAGGCGAGCGAGAGAACTATTCAATATAGAAAAAACTTCAATAAAAAGTAAAATACAAAATAATATGATTAAATTATTGAGTAAAAGAAAAGTTAAATTCGTTGAATGGCTATATTTTCTTTGGCATCAATAAGTCTGGCTAATTTGAAAGAAAGTCTTACAATGATGATCTACAAAGTAGAAGAAGTATTACATCAATAGAAATGAACGAAATAAAGTACTTACGGTAAGAATAAATGAAATTATTATAACACCCACAAGAACGAACAAAACGACTGATGCACTAACCATAATAGTCTTGCTCATACCATCATCGGCTATGCTTCCGGCAGTTATAGTTGTAATAGCAATAAATAAGACAACAATAATTGTAACAGCAAGAACAATCAGTATGAGTATGCCCAGCCAAGCAAACTAAAGGTAAAAAATGAAAATATCAATTTTAATGCGAACATTTTATTGAAAGAGTGTTAATCTAATATATTATTTTAAGAAATTATTAAATATAAATGTGTATATCTAAAATCTTGAAACAGATAACACTGTCAAAATGACTTTTTTTTTTAAATTATGATTCTAACACCGTGAACTTAATTAGTTTTGTGGATGTTTTCAATCTCGAACGATTCCCAAGATTATCTTTATAGAAATTTTTTTGTCAAACATAATTTCGACTTGACTTTGCATTATTATGTGTATACGTGCAAATAGTTTGTTTTTTTCAAACTTATTTAGAAAGCAAAATGATAGAGATTGATGAAGACATCTGACAAGAGAAATTAATTCTATCAGTTGAGAATGTTCACTGACTTTTTTATTCCGCATGAAATGTTAGTGATCATTCAAAATTTCAGACAAGTTTTTGAATAATATTGTAAATTCTTGAATAATGGCTGTTATCTCAATGTTACATTCAATTTTAGAACAATATCGATTTTTTTTTGTCAATAACATACATCGACTAGCCTCAATAAAATAAAACTATACTTAAAGTTAACCAGAAAAGTTTATTTTCATTCCAATGATTGAAACACAATACTTCTAAATATTTAATATCGAATAAAATCAACATTAATTCAAATATAGTACTTCATTTAGACATATTTATCAAAGAGACTTCTTACATATTTGACTCTTCCATTAATAAGATTAAGTCGATAGACACTATACTATAAAAAGTTATTAAAATCAAAGGAAATCTGTTTTTTAAATTTAAAAGAAAATCAAGCTTGTATCAACGATTTTTATATTTAACAAATGAAATAAGAGATAATTCTTACCACTCGTAAACCTATTTGAGAGTATTTATAAGCAAAGATTATTCCAAAGCTATAGAAAGCTATTGAAATAAGACTTTGACCCAATTGCACACCAAGTTGAGTATCACTTGTACGATTCCGAGAAGTGTATCCGGAAATTACATTAACCGTACTGATCAAACAGAGAGCCTGAAAGATTAATATATAATATAAATGTAAAACAAATTCTTCAAATATATATTTATATATGAATCAATATTAGATCAAATTATCTTTAGATTAATACGAAACGAGTTAATATTCATGCTCATATTAGCACATAGAAATCATTTTGCATTAATTTGAATAAATTTCTTCTGTTATGTCAAATTATATTAGATCTCAGTTTACGAATGCTTCAAAAAGAATTCTTGTCTCATTTCTTTTTTGTTTTGAATTTTAAAAGAAGATGATTAAAATGTTTTGTGTTTTTTTTATTATAAAACTCGAGCAAAAGATAATTTGTTTAAAAAAAATAATCTCGAAATATTATCAAACCTCAAGATTTGACTGATTGATTTTCATGTTACTATGAAAATTTGCTTTTTATTTC